CCTGTTAGTGCATATTGCTATTGCTACTACCTGAATAGCAAGGCTTGTTAATTTGCATATTCAGGTAGATTTGCATTTTGCAACTTCTGCAGGCAGGAGAGAATTTTTGCTTGTTATGGTCTTCCCCATCCCTTTATAAATATGTTTTTTATGCCATTATATTTTTGGGCACCTGTTCTAAAGAAGGATATTATGGCACTAGAAAAAGTGCACAGGCGGGCTACAACATTAATAAAAGGAATGGAACATATCAGCTATGAAGAAAAGTTAACACATTTAAACCCATTTAGTTTAGAAAAACATCACCTGAGAGGGGATATGATAACATTATACAAATATATTCGGGGCCAATACAAACCATCGTGTGGAAATCTATTCACAAACCGGACTTTACATAGGACACGAGGTCATGCGTTTAGACTGGAAGAAAGGAGATTTCATCTAATCAAAGAAAAGGTTTTTTTACTGTAAGAACAATAAGGATGTGGAATTCTCTGCCCGAAGAAGTGGTTTTATCAGAGTCCATACATATGTTCAAACGGCTAGTAGATGCATACTTGCAAAAACAGAATATTCAAGGATATAATCTTTCAATGTAAGGTAATAACTGCTTTATTCAAGGATAAATCTGACTGCCATTCTGGGGTCAAGAAGGAATTTGTTTCCTAGTTTGTTGCAAAATTGGAAGAGCTTCAAACCTTTTTTTGCCTTCTTTTGGATCAACAGCAAAAAACAAATGTGAGGAAGGCTGAACTTGGACGCAAATCTTTTTTCAGCTCTGTAACTATAATTTCCTGCATATATTTATTGACATGTTTTGGTTATTTGAATTTTATTATGTTTGTCACAACAAGCTTTATGTAATGCGCATATGGGCTAGTCCAGAGTTAAAAATAAAGTATTGAACGTTCGTTCCTTTTGGAATTGTGTGCTATGTTGATTGTACCTGTTTTATGCAATGGCTGCACAGTTATATATTTTTATGTATTTTATTGTCTTTTGCTGCCATTAGTTCAACTGAGTCTTGCCTCTGTCCTTGGAGATAATTGGATTCATTCCCAATTATCTCCAGGATAGAAGACTCTGTGGAACTGGTTTGGGGCAGAAAAGCCATGCTTCATTTAGTCACAAAGGACTACGATCTATCTTTTGAACCACTGGACCAATTTGTATGATTTTGACGTATGTTTGTATTTGGAGTATGTAAGTTTTATGTGAATGTGATGCATACTTTTAAAATTATGAATAATGTGGAAAAACTGTATTTCTCTGCCTGTGATAATTACATTACCCATTGTGTAAGGTAATTGTATCACAGGCAGAGGGGAGGATTTTGTGTGGGAGTGTCTGAGTGTATTGTACGTATTGATTTGTTGTTCTTCAAAACCCTGTGGGCAGTACTATGTTTGTAGAACGTGAATAAAAGAAGCTGTATGTGCCAGTACAGTCAGTTCTACTTCACCCTCAATTTGGAGTGTCGTCTCTTATTGGGGGAACCTGCTACAAGGGATTGCTATGCTCTTTATACTCTCTTGCCATATTCAAAGCTAAGCTCTTGTAAGAGCTTGTTCCTGTTTTTGCTCTCTGAAGGTGTCTCTGGTGGTTATGGTGTCTTCTGGAGTGCTGGAAATCCTCAAGAAGCGCTAGGAGCATCCTTCAACGGAGGTACCCAGTCGGGGGGTTCCGGGTGATTCATTACAATATAGAATAGAGTAACCAAATTTATTTTGCCTGAGTGTGGTGAAGAACCTCCAAACAGAAGTAGCAGATAACATGAGAGAAGTCCCCCAGACAGAAGTACATAAAAAGATCGTAAATGTATATGAATCGTAACTGATGAAACTTTGAATGTATGCATAAAGTGGACCATGCGTGGGTCAAGCATAAAGAGCCAAGCCCCTCGTCAAACCCAGGAAAAAGGGGTGTATAAACAAGTCAACGCGTGTTTTTTTTAATGCGTACCCAATAGGAGTAATAAGGCGGAGTAATAAGGCTGAGTGCTGCCTTGAGCGATTGAATTAACATATCAAGATAAACGTAAAAGCGAGTAAGGACTAAGTACCTGTAACAGAAATAATCATAATGGACAGAGAGACTTGGTAACAGCAACCAATAGGAGACCGAACACTCCTAAGTGGAGAACAGTTAACATACGAATTATCCCCCCCCCAAGTACAAGACGAGGCTCTGTATTGAGGGTTAAGCAGGATCTGTTTAATGGGGGCTACATGTCAGCCTTTTATGCAGGTCTTCCAGCACGGGACTCTCCCATAGGGACCTTGTGGAAGACTGAGACAGTTTATACAGCAACCAATCAAATACATGTAAAGTAATAAACACTCCCACATGAACATTACAACTTTTCCTCTCTATCCTGAAGATAATTGGGTTAAGTGCTAAAAGTAACTCAATTACCTCCAGGGATAGAGAATATCCTCTATTTTACAGTAACAGTAAAAACACACAAAAATATTTATTTCCAAATATACCGAACGGAACCCACACATTCAACGTATCCCCAGATAGCTTAGGTCTGAGCGCTCAATTTAACCGAACAGCGCTCAGATCCCATACATGCAGTTCAATCGCCATGGAGTTAAAGTCTAGTACATACTGCGTTAGACGAAACGAAGGAGCTCCATGAGTTTGCTATCTGGTACAGTTCCGTCCGTGCATTGTCAATTTACCGAACGGCGCGGCGTTCGTATGAACCTTGAACAGAACGAGGAAAGGTCTGTGATTTCAGCGGTGTTCGTGTGAAACAGTATTCGAAATCAGTTCCATGAGTTTGTCGACGAACACCGCCGCCAAGGGGGCGTTCATACGAACGACGACCACCAAGCTGACCGTTCGGGAGTTGGAAGTGTCTGCGGTTAACCACAATGTTAATGAGGGCAGAAAGGTTAACGAGCAGCACACTTCCCTGCTGGGTGGCCTGCCATTCGGTAGTTTATTCGTATTTGGGAGAATGCAAACAAAAACCATACGAACAACCGGCAATAACCGAACAAACGGCAATAACCAAACAGACGAATCAGGTTTAAGCAATAATCCAAAGGCAGACAGGTCTGCCACAGAGACCATAAAGGGCCCAACTTTACATTGCACATTGAAAAGGAATTCGAGCCAAACGTGGCCTAAGATACAGAATGTTGTAAACGTAAAGGCGACAAACTAACACATACCATTTAGTAAGAAGATTTTTAGACCTTTAGAAGAAATTCCCCTTTAACGAGGATAAGGAATTTTACATTTTATGTGTACAGAAGAGGTTTATAAAAGTTTATATTACTATTCCTCAACCACATGTATAGGCCCAAGTTTGGGCCTGACAAATTTATACAGTCAGTTGAAACACCTTGCCACATAATTACTAGACAATGTAGGCCCACATAATTGCCTGAATACCCAGAGGGCAAACAAAGAAAGCATTAAAATGTAGGGTGACTAACTAAATTGCATTTAATAAAAGTCAATGTGGCCTTTGACTTACTTACCTTTATCAGCCACTTACCTTTATCCACCTCTCCTCCGACGTCAGCTCATGAGTGAAGCCGAATGCGCATGCGCGGCCATAGGAAAGCATTTCTCAATGCTTCCCTATTGACATTCTGCGTGCTCAATTGAGCGTCGCAGAAGCGCCTCTAGCAGCTGTCAGGAAGAGAGCCACTAGAGGCTGGATTAATCCTGTAATGTAAAGTTTCTCGGAAATTGCTATGTTTACATCTGAAGGGTTAAAGCATGGGGGACCTGGCACCCAGACCACTTCATTGAGCTGAAGTGGTCTGGGTGACTATAGTGGTTCTTTAAAGAAGCCGCAGCTGGGTCAGACATGGGGTAGACATAGGGAGGCGGCTGTTTACTAGAGTGACGTAAAATTAATAATTTCGTGGGCCAAGACTAGCTTGTTTGGAGTTTAGGCAGTTTGTGTTGATGACCTTTGAACCAGAAGTAGATGGTTCTGTAGTGAACCCTGACCTGAAACGGAACAGCCAAGGTAAGAGGGGGGGGAGGTAGGGTTTTTATAGGACTCCTCCAACAAATTCAGGCCTTAAAAAAAAATATCACACACAAAATGAACATTTTATATTTGAAAGAGAGGTTATATATTTATTGGACTGAAAACTTTTAACACTTTTTATCAAAAAGGATTTACATAATAGCAGTGTACTCTCCAATAGACATTTAACCCTTTATATCAGAAAGGAATTACATGTATGTTATATTATTCGTGTCCTGAGTAGCAGACATTTAACCCATTGGAGTGGCCCCGTAGATGTCTTAATCCTCTTATGGGCAGTAAAGTATAGGAGTAGTAATTGAGGAATGAGACAGAGCCTTATTTAACCCCGAGTTGCCAACATTACACACCCAGCCCGATCGCAGCAGGCTTTCCCCACCCTTTATAAATCCATGTGTCTTTGTAACTCCAGTGCAAAGCATTGCTAATGCGCAATTCCCTCGTAATTATTATGTTGACTGAAACCAGCCGAGCCAGAGTCTATAGGACAGGAAGGAGGCCGTGTACTATACTCACTGATCGAAAAGAAATAACATAAAATAACTGGAGTAGGGGGGGAGGAGCATGGCAGCCTCTACAGAAGGTCAGCTTTCTTCACAGTGCTCTCCAACTCTGGCTGAATCCACTGAATATCAGCATTTTATTGCAGCATCCGTTTCTAAAAACGGGAGTCAACAACTATACCGACTTGTTCATTGTGATGACATTCTGTCAAACTAATATGGTGACCAGGGGTCATGTGACTAAACTCATGTATAACATTCTTACGGGGGATAGATGTTCACAGTTTCTCTGCCCCATTGTTGCCTACCCACCATGTGGGAATTGCAGCTTACATGCAGCTTGGCGGGATATGACTCGCTGGAGGATTCCCGAGGAAGACTGACGTGAGCCTTACTGTGATCGCGGTCAACTATCATCCATATGGGTACATCCTAAAAGTGGTCTCAGTCCCACCTCCAGGGACATTGGGGTTATCCCGGCCCACCCTGCTGCTGCAGGTCCTCCCACTGATTTGTATGGGTTTTCCAACCTTTCTTGGTATCTTGGTACATACACGAGACATTTAATCTGTCCTTGCTGACTAATAATGAATTCTTTGCTTCCATGGGCTTTAGTGAGTTAGTTTTTGGTTACGGCATACTGACATATGTTGTATGCGTTGCTAGATCTTATTGGCCTGTGCTTGCAATAGTAGAAAATTGTATTTCGTACTTGTTTAACATGAACCAGGCTACTACCTACTATATATAATTGCTGCTCTCTTATTCATTATTTACTTTTTCCTACACTGCTGCAGCACGTGCTGGGGGTTAAATCCATCATAATGTGATACTAGCATTATGTATCTACTCAGATGAAAAAGAAAACAAGACATATTTATATATATATATATATATATATATATGTTTGTCATGATATGGTCTTGATATGCCGATGAAGCTTGGATATTGTTTGGTACTAACAGCATATTAGTACTCCCCATATCTAGTGGTGGATAACTTGACACTAACATCTTTCGAATTAAATGGGCCTGTCTGTTGCATTAGAGATGATGTGACTATCCTAACTTCACACTTCTATTTTTGCAACATCTGCTACTTAAAGGACCACTATAGTGCCAGGAAAACATACTCGTCCCCCTCCCGCCCGGCTCTGGAAAGGGGAAAAGGGGTAAAACTTACCTTTCTCCAGCGCTGGGCGGGGAGCTCTCCTCCTCCGATCCTCTTCCGTTCCTCCCCGTCGGCTGGCTGCGCGCACATTCAGCCGGTCGCATAGGAAAGCATTTACAATGCTTCCCTATGGACGCTTGCATGCTCTCACTGTGAAAATCACAGTGAGAAGCACACAAGCGCCTCTAGCGGCTGTCAATGAGACAGCCGCTAGAGGCTTTGGGGGAAGGCTTAACCCATTCATAAACATAGCAGTTTCTCTGAAACTGCTATGTTTATAAAAGAATGGGTTAACCCTAGCTGGACCTGGCACCCAGACCACTTCATCAAGCTGAAGTGGTCTGGGTGCCTAGAGTGGTCCTTTAATGTATTGTCTTTATGTTCAATAAACTTTGAAGGATATGACAATTGACTCTGCACATACGCTGTACACACGTGTGACCTGGAGCATCTTGACATCTGAGAAAGTAGATCGGTTTATTGGCTAAAATGTCAGGACACACGACGGAGTGCAAAACAAAATCCAGCAAAATAATAGCCAAGGTTTCTTTCATTAGAGCAGAGATAATCCTGAGTCCAAACAAGTTAATGAGATCACAGTGCGGGCATTTGGGAAAATGGCGTGCATCCAGTACAAGAGCCTGAGTTAACTCCAACAGCTTCACGGTAGAATGCTGCCTAATAATTATGGAAAAATGTGGAACTGGCCATGTCAGAGTCAAGGACCACTCTGCATCTGGGGAACGATCATCCAGATTAGCGGGGTGACCCAAGGTGGGTATAGAAATGCACTACTGAAAGGCTTTATTTTCTACCACTGGCTGTGATCAAATAAAATGGTCACTCAATCTCTGTAGCTTCTTCACTGGCTCCCATCCAGTTAAACAGAGAAAGAAGATAAAACTTACAAGGACCTCTTCATTGCCCAAGCTTCATAGGAGTTGGAATCCACCAGCATCAATGTTAAACCAACTTAATAATTGATAAGGAAAAGGTTTAACATTTAGAAACATATTCAAATGTTTTTTGAGTGGGCCATGTCTCTTTGATCACAGAACTGATATTGCCACGTGTTCCGTTAATTATTTTAAACAAGTCTGCATTGAATTCAAAGGTAATTTGAAGTGGTCATGGTGCTTTGCATGCTGCACATCCATTGTTCGAAAATACATTTTGCTACAGGAGGTGTAACTCCACTGTAGTCAGGTTTCCATTCCAGAGAATTGGTATATGTAGGATATCCAGGCCCCACGTGGAGCGCACACCCAGGTCCTGCACGGTATTCACACACAGGCACTGTACAGTGTGTATATGTTGTGGTCGCTCAGGATGAGTACTTTGCCCTGTGCTAGTTGCAGGGCGGCCTCACGCAGATCGAAGTGATAAGGCTGGAATGTACAAGGTGTGGGCTCAATAATCAACAAGGAATCTGTAAATAATTCCAATAATTGGCATGTTAAACACCCAGCCGCATGTAGGCATGTTAAAGGGACACTCCAGGCACCCAGACCACTTCTACTAGACAGCCACTAGAGGGCACTTCCTGGATTATAGCACAGAAAACCTGTGCTAGAGCGTCGCTGGACGTCCTCACGCTGTGTGAGGACCACCAGCGTCGCTCAATTCCCCATAGGAAAGCAATGAAAACCATTTTCAATGCTTTCCTATGGGGAGCTCTAATACGCATGCACGGCATTGACGCTCATGCGCATTTGGTCTCCCCGGCCGGCGGGCGGGATCAGTCTCGCCAACCGGTAATGCAGAGGAGGAGCAGCGGCGGAGGAAGAAGCAGCGACGTGGGACATGTCGCTGCCTCTGGTAAGTGACTGAAGGGGTTTTCACCCCTTCAGCAACCAGGGATTGGGAGGTGGGAGGGAGAGGGGACCTGCAGTGCCAGGAAAACGGAGTGTTTTCCTGGTACTGGAGTTTCCCTTTAAACACCCAGGCGAATTTGATAATTTGTTTCAGTTGAGCTATTTTGGCTCTGCATTTAAAATTCAATGAATTCTTGCTTCTTTCTTTCTTATTCTATAACAATCTGTGAGTATAAACCACCTGCTGCATAGTAGGAGAAGGATATTGTAGCGGAGCTCCAATAGCCAGCATAGGTATCTCCGCTGTTAGTCCTCATTGCTGAAATAAGCAGTAAAATATCACATAGCACTTTCCTCCAGTAACTGGACGACACATAGTTCTGGGAGTCAACTGAATTTATTTTGGCCACACATGGCTTTTATGCACAGACCCCTAACACAAAACCACTAACTCACACAAAAATACAGAGTTTTTCCTCCCAAGATCCTCTTTGCCTGAGAGATAATTGCGAAAGAAAAATCTATAACTCAATTATCTCTCAGGTACAGAAAAATCTACAATAATTTAAAATACCTCAAAAATGCATTTTAATATTTCAGAACCCCATGAAAGTCACATCACCAAATAACCTGGATCTGAGCACACACTTTGACGAAATATCACTCAGATCCCTTCAATGGTTCGGGAATGCCATTCGAATGAGGTTTTGACCGGTCGGCCACGAGGTGATGCCACAACACCGTTCCAGAGAAAACAAAGCAACTACCGGTCATCTTTCGAGGGTTCTCGCACGAACACCGACGAAGGCTCCCCCTGGCTGTTAGTATATGAATGTTCCCCCTGTTCGGTAGTTTATGTCTCCCAAACTCGATTCTCATAACTGTTCGGGGAGTTGGAAGGGCAGCGATACGAGTGTACCGGGTGTCCACATGGTCGTGTAGCCGAAAACAGTTCCATGCCGTCAACAACGATGTACCGCCGCCCACATTCGGGAGACAAAAAGGCCGCCATTTGTTTGCACACGTACGTTCAGTTATACAAACGGGGCCCACACAGGGGAAACACTTTACTTACAAAGCAATCTGTGGTTAACAGCCAGGGGTGGTCGGTTGTTAGAAGGTGCGAACAAGGGGACCACACAACTGGGGGGGGGTTCGGTAAACGAATGGGAAGGTAGGGAAAGCAGAACAAAAGGAATAAAAGTATATAAAGAATGTCCATTCCGCTACATATATCCAGGGTAATCTTGGGAGAACTGTTAACAAGTCTCCATTGTGATAACCCTCCTACCGATGCTACCCAGCACAGTATTACTCCTATCAATACTACCCAGCATGGTATGCCTCCTACCTATAATAACCCAGCACGGTATGCCTCCTACCTATAATAACCCAGCACGGTATCCCTCCTACCTATAATAACCCAGCACGGTATCCCTCCTACCTATAATAACCCAGCACGGTATCCCTCCTACCTATAATAACCCAGCACGGTATCCCTCCTACCTATAATAACCCAGCACGGTATCCCTCCTACCTATAATAACCCAGCACGGTATCCCTCCTACCGATAATAACCCAGCACGGTATCCCTCCTACCTATAATAACCCAGCACGGTATCCCTCCTACCGATAATAACCCAGCACGGTATCCCTCCTACCGATAATATCCCAGCACGGTATCCCTCCTACCGATAATAACCCAGCACGGTATCCCTCCTACCGATAATAACCCAGCACGGTATCCCTCCTACCGATAATAACCCCGAACGGTATCCCTCCTACCGATAATAACCCAGAACGGTATCCCTCCTACCGATAATAACCCAGCACGGTATCCCTCCTACCGATAACCCAGAACGGTATCCCTCCTACCGATTACCCAGCACGGTATCCCTCCTACCGATACTACCCAGCACGGTATCCCTCCTACCGATACTACCCAGCACGGTATCCCTCCTACCGATACTACCTAGCACGGTATCCCTCCTACCGATACTACCCAGCACGGTATCCCTCCTACCGATACTACCCAGCCACTGTTAGACAGCCACTAGAGGAGGACTTAACCCTGCAAGGTGATTATTGCAGTTTATAAAATCTGGAATAATTAAACTTGCAGTTTTAAGAGTGGTGGGAGTTGGCACCCAGACCACTCCAATAGGCAGAAGTGGTCTGGGTGCCTGGAGTGTGTGGAGGGACCGCTGCCTAACTGTGAATTGTCTTGTTTTATATGTGTGGATGTGCCCTCCTAGAATGTGTGTTCCCCTCTTTAATAATCCTCCTTCTGTAATTTTGACCATAAAATCCTGCAATATACCTTTTGACCACCCGTGCACCGGACCACCCCGATACCCAATTTAGAACGTTCACACCTCGGTAACGAGGTGTGAAAAACCGCAGAACGCAAGGGAACTAGCGGCGTGTGCTTCCCCTGGGTGGTTGCCGGTTCGTTTCACAGAACGCCCACCAGGGAGAGAATTTCCTCTCAAACCTGGGAGCTACAAGGCTAGGCTCGTGGCTACCCAGGTGAACGCTCTCTCCGGCGGATACATGAGTATTGGTGTCCACCGGAGTGAGGGACACGCGCTGGGGCTGTGAGTCGGTCTCACGGACACAGGGTTCCCGCTGGCTGCATGGAAGTCCATGCCGACCAATGAGAGACGGTCTGGGTTTGCGTCATTCTCCTGGTTG